AAAATCTGAGTTTAGACAGTAATTCCAGTCTTATTATGATTTACTGTGATGTTTTCCTTTGAATAGTGAAGAAATACACTATCAAATTACAGTATAAACATGGATTAATTTGTAATGCCATTTTAATTTCCTTAATTAAAAAAAAAATTCCTAAAAGTGTCGAACAACCTCATCCCATTGACAGGATCATGGTACATATGTAAAATTTTAATTTTATTTGCCCTGCAAGGTGTTTAGAGAGTTCCAGAAGAGGAGAATATTTCACCAGCTGGGCGGTCAGTTTGTTCGTACAATACGGAGATGCACCCAGTTTTTACATGCCTACCCAGCAAAGCCCATCTTCTAAGTGAGCATTTAGGGAAGAGAAACACATAAAGTGCTTTGTGCAGCTCTCTAATTTAAAATGGCTTTGCAAAATCAGCTTTGCAGCATTGTTTTGTTCCTCAGTAATCTCTCACTTTTGGCTTGTGCCATGTGTTAGAAAACAAGATTGTGTCCTAAACCAACAAGCTGAAGAGTGGAAGCATGTTGGAAATTAAACACAAACAGTGCAGGGGATTTACTAGAAGTCAATTTGCTTGACTTCTATTCTATATGCTACAATATTCTGTACTCTGAATTTCCCACTCATTTTTCAAGAACTAACCTGCTAGTAGAACTGTAAAGAAATAGCATCCCAACATATGGAGACTGTTATAGAGGTTGCAAAAGCCAATATACAGAAATAAGGGAACAGCAGGGGTACTACATGCAGTGATAAAGTCACAGTCCCTGGCCTCCTTCTCTAACTGGCTTCTTGGCTTGAGAAATTATACCTAACAGCATGGTACCCTAGAATTTGAACTATTATGTTCTTTGTCTTTTGGGTATTATTGTAACCCATTTTCTCCAATACCTCCAGTTTAGATTCAGCTTTACCAGTTGTGCAATTCATGTTTGAAGAGACCAAAAACTGTTCACTCTGGCACACTTACCAATTTTTATTGTGGTTTCTGCTCTTGGTCTGTCTAATTTGGGAGTACCACAGCAAACAAAACTATAAAACTGTTCTGAAAAAAAAGGACTTGGTAAAAAGATTGATAGCAAAATCACAATACTCCAATCCTGAATATAAATTGTGACTATAACCCATAAAAGAACAAAAGGCATTCTTGTAGTAATTCAACTGAGGAATTATTTTAGTAGGAGAGTAATCATTCTTGTCTGTAGTCCTCAATTAGCATTAACTGTAAGAAAAAGCTTATTAGGAATATTTAAATTTTTAAGTCCCCCTGTGCAAGCATATCTGAATTCCCAGAAGTTAGTTACAGTGCAAGATGTACTAATTAAAATACTGCTTTGGGAAATCCTCCTTTATCCAGTGTTCATTATTAAAATTAAAGATAGTGGAAAGGTTTTGATTTTTATAAAGATTTTAGTCATTGTGACAGGGATTCAAATAGTGAAAGAGAGCATTTGAAACGTTAATGAAATTCTGATAATTTCACAGGACTTAGTCCTTTTATGACACTTCTGCCCCAAATGAACGATCCTTGCAAATCTTAGACCACAATTCCATGTTTCTAGGCCCTTTTCAAAAAGCTAACTTATGCAGCCAAAGATCCAGACTAAGCTGTGACTTTTATCCATGCCCACAAACCATAGGAAAATGGGTGTTCCTAATTTATCACAAACTCATAATTTAACAGTCCCAACTTATAACCATGGGCAAACTCCTCTTTTTTGCCAACAAGAACTGAAAAACTGTCTTTTTACTGGTCAGGAAAAAAAGACCTGTGTCTTTTCGGAACCTGTGTAAATATTAGGCAGCATCTATACCCCTGCTTAATGTTTGAGCATACCACTTTTCTTAGGAATTCTTTCTGAGGTTTGGTCATAGGTAGTCATGTCTATGCTAATTTTTGTATTCCAATGTTTTAAAACAAGTGTGAGTAAGGAAGATGTGGCTTCTGTATTTAAGGATGTATTTTCTTGCTGCTTCTCGGAGACACTGAAGACTGAACAGAATCAGTTTGGACTGCATTACTTTTTAGACACTAAATTTTTATGATCATTGCTGCCTCTGCAAAACAACTGATAAGGAAAAGGAGCTAAATATATGCTGGTGTCTATAAGCTTACCATAGAAGAGCAAATGTAACCTAAGATGTATTAGTAGAAATTTTGCCAGCAGAGGCAAAGAACTCTAAGTGATGCAGTAAGATCACCTCTCAGAGACAGTTTAAGATTCTGATCACAAATGCAATATGAACTAACATGGAATATGCACAATAAAGGGTACCATGATGAATATGGAAATAGAAAGCATCATTTTTGAGGACAGTTCACAAGAGCCCTACTTTGTTTAGGCTAACATAAGCCAAATACTGAAATATTTTATATATATCCATATATATATATATCTATATATATCTATATATACATACACATGCTAATTTCCTGTAAATGCATCAAAAAGGTAAACAATAAAAATTTTAAGCCAGAAAAAAATGTTGGCACAAGCATACACAGTGTAAACTAGCAATTAATAAATTTAGCATATGGTTTGGAAAAAGCAAATCCTAAATGTTATAGAAACGTCACAGCAGAACATAATTGCCTTTGGCATAGTAGGTCTACAGAAGAAAAACTCAGGCTTGGGGTTTTTTTCAGTATGAAGGCATTCATGTAGCACAGTGGGTATGATCATGAAGAATGAGTCCCTTGATCCCCATATGGACACTGCAACTAAAAGACAGCTACTTTTCAGCATCAGGAGTCCTTTAAGATATGCTGTCCATAGTCATAGTTGCACAATAAATGTTCAGCCACAAGAGCCAGAAGAACCTTTTAGTTTTGCAGCAGAATCCTAATCTGATGCAGGTGCTGACTATTTACTCGTCTCTCATCCTGAAATAGATGTTACATTTGGCCAGGCAGATTGCACCCTCAATCCCACAGACTATATCAACTACAGAGACAAATCTCTATAGACTGTACTCAGAAACTTGACAGGTAGCTCAGATGTGAAGACCTCACTGTGGACACTTAAAGGTAGGTGAGCTGAAGTTATCGCCTGCCCCAGATTTTAACAAAAATAGCCTCAAATTTCAAAGAGAACCAACTAACCAACAACTAACCATCTCTAATATGAAACCCTTCACTAAACTGAGAACACCTATGCCTCTGGTTTTGAGTCTGTAATCCACATCTGGAAATACCATGAAAGGAAGTGCACTTCTGATACTCTATCCTAATGGTCAGTTAAACAACAAATGCTTGCTAGCTATGGGATTTTTCAAGTTCTATGTCAAATATTTAACAGATCATTTGCAAAGTTTACAACTCTGCAATGTGGTCGCAAACTCGTTGCTTCTGGCCTGGCCTATAATTTTATAAGCATAAACTCTATAGATCAAATGCAAACCTGAAATGTATTTTTCTATGGTTCTAAACAAACTAGAAAAAATTTTGTCTAGAATTACTATATATGTTCAAGCTTTTGGTCTCCAGTGATGGTTTAAATCATATATTAATCCTGATATACACGCTGGCTGTTTGACATGCAACATCTAGATCTATTTGTTCCATGCTAAGGGGATGCAGAGAAGACAACATATTCAAAATCTCCAATTTAATGTGTTTTTTATGTATTTGGTCTGCTTTCTTTGCCATTTGCAGATGTACTGTGATTGGGACAGTAACTGTGACTCTATGGACAAGTAAATCTGTATCAACCAACTTGTCTAGCGTAAGAAGAGAAATTATTTGCATATACCTGAAAAGACAGTAGTAATTTCTATGAGATTTATTTTATTTTTTATAGAAAAACTTTATTAGTTGCTCATGGAGTATTGCCACAAGAAAGGAAAACAAATATCTTAAAAATTAGTTCTAAAATAACGTCTTGAAGAAAGAAATCTTGAAATGCTTTTGTTGTTAAAAATGTGGAGAGGTTTTGTAAAAGGAACAGAAGAATTTTAATATGTATCAAGCATTATTCATATTCCTTAGCCAAGAGCAATTTAGGAGCACTATTTTCCAAAAACATCCATTACTCAAAAGTTATCCTGTAGCAAGAGATTCCTCCCTCAAGACAGTAATTTTATATCAGAATCTCTTTCCGTTAAGAAAATAAGAGGAAGAAGAAAGGGTGAAGGAATCCATTGTGTGCAATTATTTTGGGGATGAGAATCTGGAAACCACTTTTTTGTCTATTTTTCCTGTGATTGTTCTGTTTTTCTCACAAGCAAGGGGACACCCATTACGGCCACACCTCAGCACCTGTCTGTTCAGGTCCTGGGCACTGAGGCTGGAGAGTCCCTGGAAACATCCCAGCTGCTGCCCATGTCCACACAGAGACTGAAAGCTCAGGTGCTTTGTCGACCTCACGGTCATTGCTCTTTATGTGCTTCGTTTTACTCTTCATGTCCGGGGAGGTCGTGGAGCCTCCCCCTCTGGAGACATTCAAGGCGGACCTGGACGCCTTTCCGTGTAACCTGCTCCAGGTGACCCTGCCTTGCTGGGGGTTGGACTGAATGATCTCCAGCGGTCCCTTCAACCCGGACCATTCCGTGATTCACAAACAAGCGCTGCTCTTGGAAGTAGATCCCGATCACAGCATAACCTCAACATATGGGCTGTAGGACATGTCAGATCGCACCAGAGCCAGCATAAGCCTGTTTTTACACGGAGATGCCCAGAACCGATGCCCTGCTCCTTTGGGAACACCCGAGCAGGCTGAGGGCGGGTGACACCACCTCGCCCCGGCGGGGCGGAGTGGGCTCGGGATTCCCCTGGCCGGGCGGCTGAAGGGGAGCGGCGGGTTGGCTGGGTGGCGGGTTGGCTGGCTGGCGGGGTGGGGTCGGGAGCAGAGGCAGAGCAGGAGGTCGGGCGGGGAGAGGCCGCCCCGGGGCTGTGGCCGTGCGGGGCCGCCCGGCCAATGGGAGCAGCGGTTGTTGGAGGGCCGGGAGGCGGCGTTGCCACAGCAGCGGCGGTCGGAGCGGTGCTGGAGGTGGAGCTGGAGCCGGAGCCGCAGCCCGATCCCTATCCCGATCCCGAGGCGGTGGTCGGGGCGCGTCATGGAGGGGCTGGAAGGTGAGGGCAGCGGCGGGGCCGGGGCAGCAGCGGGCTCCCAGGGCGAGGCGGACGGGGCCGCGCCCTTGTGCTGTGGCGGGGCGTGCTCGGGCAGCGGTGTCGGCGGCAGGAGCCGGGCCCGGGCACCGCCTTGCCCGTTCGCGGAGCCCCCCGGCCGGCAATGCCAGGGCGTCAGGGCTGAGGCGGGGCAGTGCGGCCGGAGGGGCCGGCGGCCGGAGGCGGAGGGCTCGGTCCGGCGCGGAGCCCGCGGGGCGGGGGCGGCTGCAGGACCGGGCTCCCCGCATTGTCTCGGCTCCGCGCCGAGCCCCGCCAGCCCCTCCCTGCTCGGAGCCGCTCGGCGGGTGCTCCCTGGGCGGGGTGCGGCGCATCCTGTCCGCATCTTCGGCGGCAGCCCTTCTCTTTGCGAACAGATGGCTAAGGTGGGCGTTGGGATCCGCTTATCATGCTAAGCGAGTGTTCAGTGCGGTGAAGAAAACTAGGTATGTGTTTGCTGACAGGATGTTTGCAACTTTGTCCTGTGCCGCTTGAATTAATGGAAATCTCCTTGCTCTCTGTAGTATCTGTCCGTAGATGTCATCTTGGAATTCATGAAGTTACAGCTTGCAATCTGAGCATTTTTTGTAGGCCTGTCATTACTGTGTTTTCCAAGCAGCTTTTACCATGCTACTTAAGAAAAAACAGAGACCCATTGTAAGAAACTGTCACAAAACAGTCATTGAGTCTTCCACGCTTTACTTCTCTGAGAGGTAACTGAGTGGTATATAGGTATATAGGTATAAGCACAAACTAGCCTTTGTTCTTTATCCCTCGTAGCACGGTTGGAGAACTGAACTAATTTTCACAGAATACTTGTGATCTTAGTAGATCTGTGTCTTTAGTGGATTTTACAGTAGTGAGACCCTTTTCTTGTGCTTAGTAACTTCATCAAGACTATAAATATGGACGTAGTTTGGCATTAAAATCCGAAGATTTTTTTCTTTTATTTGATTTACTCAGCATTCTTTGCTAATGCCTTTGAAATCTGAAGGGTGGTGTCCAGTGTTCATCAAATAATGCCTTACCAGGCACTCCAACTCTCATGACAATTGTATGTTATCTGTACAAACAGGGGATACTTGCTTTAATTTTGAGTAAGCTTTATGTTTGACTACATTTGAGACTGTACATCATCTGCAGCCCATCCATCAATTGATTTGGCTTTGAGTTAATTTACCGCGGCCAGCTATGCGGTGTTGTATAAGCTCTAGCACCTTCATAACACAGGGTAAAAGGAAACTAGATCTACAGATAACAGCAAAAGCCTGAAAAAAAATTGTGATTTTTCTTGTCAGTAGAATTTGTCCAGTTTCTGACTTTGCTGGAAATGGTTTACATGTTGTTTGTTTGTCAGAAGGCACTGTGAGTGGTGGGAGGAAGAACTGGTAAATCATAGGTGAAATTTCACGTTTATACTGAGCCTTTTCATAAAAGTACTTTCAAAAGCTAGAACTTATCGAAGCATTTTGCTATCTGAAATGTGAAATCATGTGAAATGATTTTTCTGAACACTCACGATTAATTTGAGAATAGCAGAGGAAATAAGTAATTCCTAAAACTTTAGTTGTCCTTGCCTTGTGAACACTCATATCTGTCACTGCTATCCAGTATCCTTGAATGCAAAAGATCTTGAAACTGAAGAACAGTTTTCTGCATTTATGTGGATCACTTTGGGCTGTGTTTTTATTTTAACAATTTTTTTTAAAAAGAAAATAAAATACTTCATTTCCTGCTTCAAAATATTTGAAGCAAGTCGGTTTGCTATTTTTTTACACGTTTTCAGTTTAGACTGTCTCTCTTGATGCATATTGGCTTAGGCTCAGATTAAGTTTTTGTAGAAAGGTCGCCCTAAGAAGGGAAAAATGTAGGCAAAGCCAATAGCAATAAATTATTTCATTGGGTGTTATGCTTTTGTCCAGTCATTGCTCCATTGGCAACTCAGAAGAACAGTACAGGTTGCCATTTTAGATTAAATCTGTGTTTGGATGTGTAGTTGCACAGTCATACCCATCTGACAAAGAAGTACGGGCAGCTTCTGAAATCTGGCTCAGCCTGCAGCATCGTTATATTAGTGCTCAGGAAAAGCATTTCCCAGAGCTGACTTGTGCAGGAGGTCCTTGGCAGTTGTGTGTAGGAGGGATGTGGTTGTGGTGAAGGACAGGACTTGGTCTGTCAGCTGCACTCTCCTGATGTGTTTTTTATGATTGTGGAGGACCCCCTCAGGCTCAGGATGCTTGTCCTGGACTTTCCATCTTCAGAAATTGGTGCTTTGCTTTGCTGAAGCTCAGCATTATAGATGCAAGATCTGTGTTATTTTGGTTTATATAAGCATACTGTTAATATAAGGACTCTACCCAGTTTATAATGATTCTTTTCTCAAGGTGGAGAGTTGATGTGTAGTAGCTGACATGTGGAGCGCTGCATTAGTGGGATTTAAAAAGGTAAATAATATTGCCAGTGTTGCAGTTGCATTTTTTCACTATGTTCAAGTTTAAATGTTCAGTGAAATGGCAAAATAAGTTTCTATGTAACGTTAAAGTTTCTTCTACAATGTTGTTTCTTCTTTAAGGCAGTTCCTATATTATGTTATTTTTATCAGTATTATTATATTACAAATTTAAAGCTACAAATTTGAATTTCAATATCAAAGTTTTGTAAAAGGAGTTAGTACATACTTGTCATTATGGATGACAAATCTGATGTTAAGTCTAAAGTCGCTAGCCCAGCATTTGCTACTTTGCAGGCTGTGTGCTGTTTGGCTGTTTTTCAATTTTCTTTTAATTTACTGATGAAAATACTTAGAGCAATAGACTGAAAATGTAGTGATCTCTAAAGTGAGCTTAAAAATTTGTCTGTGAGTAGTTCACCATGTGCTGAATCTCATGGCCATTTTTGATGGATTAAAATGTTCTTGTTGCTTTCGGTGTTGGATGGCAAGAAAAAAAGCTGTCACATTGGCATGTTTGTTGCTCTGTTTCACTTGAGGGAGATGGAGGAGGGGATCCAAGCACTGAATTCCTGACTTTATATAAGCCGGAGCAGACCAATGGTGGTGTTTGATCTGCTTCTCTCCAGTCTGTTGTTTTTTCTGGGAGGATGCCGACAACAGCTGCCTGAGCCAACTAAATGCTGCTTCCCTCACTTGTTCACAGCCCATCCCAGCCTAAGGAGTAAGGGGCAGAGGGGCAGCTGTGTCGGAGGGCAAAAGTCCAACTCTCTGTGGTGGGTAATGGCAGCACTTGGCCAGCCCCAGCGTTCTCCTTCAGCCTGTGCTCTGGCAGCCGGGGAAGGCTGGTTGTGGTTGAAAGGGGATAGGTGGCTGCTTGCTCAGGAAATAGCCTGCACTCTCAAACGCAGAGCTTTTCCTTGCAGATACCGAGGAGGGACTCCTGTGATTAAGCATGTAGACTCTGAGCTGTCTGGGTGTGTCCCCGAGTGCTAGTAAGAATAAATCTCAAGGCTTTCTGCATGGCATCTCCTTCTGGGAGCTGGGGTCTGCCCTGGAATTGTCCCTGGACCCTTCCTGCACGGATAATGTTTGAGATGCCCTGCTCTACCCCTAGCAAGCATTCTCCTTTGGGCTTTTACATTAGTAACGTACTCTTGAGAGCAAGTGCTTATGCTTACTTTGACAGAATTTCTGAACAAAGTATTGCCCAGTCTTTTTTTTTTTTTCCAAAATTATTGTTTTTTAAAACACAAAATAATATTAAGTCTTCTTTTCCCTTTAGAGTTCATCCTTGTCTTCCCTCACTGGATGCATGTAGTAGCTTTCTTACTTTGGCAGCCATTTTCTTTAGCTCCATTTGACTTCAGACTTCAGCTTTTTGTTTTGTTGTGTTTTTTCTTTTTTTCCAGTCTGTCCAGCAGAAGAAAGAATTAATTTTATTGTACACTGTTCTTAAATCAGCAAGTTGAAAACTATTAAAGATTGCAATGAAAATTTAATATTAGTGTATATTTTTTAAGTTGTTTGTCTCTGGTAGCCATTAAAACAAAATGATAAATGTGACTTTGCATTGAACAGCTGTGTTTCACTGAGCATACTTGCAGCTCTGTTAAGTGATCTGATTTTGACATTTAACACTGTATAACTGTGGTCAGTGCGTTTACTTTTTATAAAGCAATTATTTTTCTATTTTTTGAGTAATGTTTACATCTTGTGGAAAAACAGAAATTAAATATTTTACCTAAAGAAAAATTTGAAAGCTGAGTGTAGGCTGATATAGTAGGGGAAGAGCACTACCAGAATACATTTCACCTTTAAAGGGGAGGAAGTAATATTTATAGACAGGAATTTAAATGTTTCAGATTGGTTTCTTCAGCATCTTAGAGCTAAGAGATTTTATGCCTTTTTCTATAGTTTTTTAGAATTCTTACATTTTTAACTTAAATTGCAGAAACTAGATTGATCTGTTAATTGAATTCAATAGGCTGAATATAGTGGGAAGATGAATATGTTTCACCTGCACACAGACATGATGTGGTTATCTTCAAAAGCAGTTGTTGCATTTGGGTGAAACCTGGTTCCAGGAGCATGTAAAGCACTTGACTGGAAGAGGTGAGGAGTGGGCTTACTTTTAAAAGAAATTCCGAGGGAGGGGCAAATGAGGAGTCAATATATTATAAATTAAATTTATTATCAAAACTGTTTTTAACACACTATTGTTAGCCAAGTAAGATTCTGATAACTAAGCACACTTGTATTGAGATTGCTCTGTCCAAGTACATATGTGTAATAGAGTATGTAAATCCAGTACTGCTTAGGGAATCACTGAGGCAAAGCAGTCTTGGTTTAAAGCTGGTGTGAGAAGGCCAGTCTTTGCCTGACTGCTCTCTTAAAATCACCATGGTGCCTGTAGCCTAATACAGGAGCATAGTGAGCTTAGGATGCCAAAGCAGAACTGTGTAACATGTACATAGGTTTTGCAGGTCACGTGCTTTCTAGTGCCTCTAGTTGATCT